AACATCGCAGCTAAAATCTTGAAGATACATCACGTACACTGCAACTTCGCGAGGAATATCGTCTTTTATTGTAGTGTCCTTAAACGCCGTGTCCGTGACGAGTTTAAAGTACTCCAAAAGTATACAGGGTGCAGTTGACCATCAAACATCTAAACTGCCCCAAAACCATCCTTACATGCATCCGTGTGTAGCACCGGTTCGTTGGTTAGAATCTTCTTAAGCTCCTGAAGTGACTGCAGCTCTGGACTCGCTATTGTGAATTCGACTTCATTTCTTGTGTGAAAAACTGGTCAGCAAGAACATCACCTGTAAAGAGCCAGACCGCTTAACAATGATACACTTTTATAAATTTCGAGGTCTTCTATCGTTTCAGCAACATTCTTTGTCACCACTCCGATCCTGTATCGATTAAGCATTCAATGTCCACACCATTTACAGAGATCACCTTGCTGCGGCCTTGATCAACAACCTTGCGAACATTCTTGTAACTATAGGAAAATCTCGGGACATATGACCATTTTCGTTGCCCTTAAAGCACTTTGTCGGAGACTGGCAATCTTTAATTTTATGCTCCGCTGAACCACACTTGAAACAAAATTCTATCTTTCGCTGGTCTTCTTTCGTTGATGCACCGCGTTATTCCAGGAACTACGAGGCTTGTCGTCCAGCTGCTCAATGATGCTTACTGCTCTCTGAGTGATTTGAAAGTTTTTTTCAGCTCGGGACAGTACGAGTGCGTGAACGCGGAATAAGTACAAATCGAAACCGAAGTGCCCAAGGATCAAGATCGCAAAGTCGAGACGCCGAACGACGACAAGTCTACAAGGCTGAGGCTACAACGCTGAGATCCAACGGTGCTAGGTCGTGGTGAAATCAAACTTAGGGAGTCCTTGCGCGGTGTCAGGCGATAAAGGTGGCTAAGCGATAAGGGAGAACTTTGTTCTACCTGCTAGGCGATACACCTTGCCGACAAAGTCCAGGCTGAACTCCGGAAGCCAGGCGATAAAGGTGGCTAGGCGATAAGGCGTAACTTCGGTTCACCTGCTAGGCGATAAACCTTGCCGGTCCCGGTAGGGAAGCTAGCATAACATCAAGGGTTTTTGGTGGAGCCGTCCCGATCTCAGTCACCCGGAGCAGCAAGCCGAAGCAGCGCAGTAGCAGGCCAGGAGCGACGCAGCGGTAAGCCGGGAGCGACGCAGCAGCACGCCAGGAGCAGCGCAGCAGCGAGCCAGGAGCAACGCAGCAGAAGACAGCGACAACGGGCAGCCGATTAATAGCAATAAGGCTATATTTTAGTGAAACAATAAACCAGCACCAACCTAATCAGTTCTGGAGTTATCCTTTGGTCACGGGCGGTCACTCAATATAAATTTGGTGGAACGAACTCACAACCTCTCTGAGCTAGCCGCACGTTTACGTAGCGAGCAGAAATTAAAGAAACAGGTCGTTACATCTGGCGCCCAAGAGTGATTGTCCTGACCAAGGAAACAAAAGTTCCGAGATGGGTAAGTCCTGGATTTATAATCTCAGGAAGGAGGACTTCGACGAGGTGAGTCAAGTTCTGGGAATAGAACTGGAGGGCTCAGTCTGGGAGACTTCGTCGACCAGACGGCAGAGGAGCCGGACATCGCCGACTTGGTAACGGGCCTGGAAAAGAAATTCCGAAAAATGCCCACGCCAAAATTCAAACTCACAACCGCAAGTGCCGAGGGCCTGATAGCGAGCTTGGATGTGTCGAGCATCGCAAGCCACGGAAGCCGGCAGCGGGAGAATAGCCGGGAAAGAAAGGAGAGTTCCAGGACGCACACGCAGGACTACGCGAAGGTGGCCAAGCAGGTCCGGAAGTGGAATTTTCGCTACGACGGAGTGGTCAGTCGTGACTTACGGTCTCGACATAAGCCAGATCCCACGAGCAATGCCGGAGCTGCTCCAAGGCAGAGCCTTGAAGTGGTTCACGCCAACAATCGGCACTGGAAGACCTAGGGAGACTTCATATACAGGTTCCAAAATTACTTTCTGCCCCGAGGATACATGGCGAAGCTGGCGGACCAGGTCAGACAGATGAAGCAAGCCTACGGGGAGAGCTTCAAAGATTTTATGGTGGATATGCGACCCTGATGCGGCCACTGAATATGTCGACCAAAGAAACGCTGGAGAGGATAAAAGAGAAAAGCACGCCGGCACTCAGAATGTTCGTTCGCCCATATGAATGTCGAAATTTGGATACATTGATGGCGCTGGCAGACGAATTTGAGGAGCTCGACCAGCAGCGGGAGAAATTCGAGCTGGAAAACAATCCCCGCAAGCAGCAAGGGCAGAGCCACCCAGTACCATGGCCAAGATCAGACCAGGGTGCGGTGTGCAGGCGGTGCCAGGAGGTCCCGGACGCACAACCACCAAGTACGCCGCGCGGTCACCAACCAGCAAACAGTCGCGGCGGATACGTAGCAAATCCTACCCAGGAGTTCCGCAGATGATGGGGTCCAGACCACTGGGCGAAGGAATGCCGAAACCAACGGCTTACGTTCTGCTGGCGATGCGGAAAAATAGGAGTTCGGACGGTTCAGTGCTGTTCCGGGTCGGGAAACGCCCAGCGCCCCAGCCTCCGAGGGGCGGCCAGGGATCGCAAGGTGCAGCCTCTCGAAATAAATGGGCGACCTGCAGGCGGAAGAAATGCAACTGTCCGCCACGGTGCTCATAGGTGAAAGTAAAATTAAGGCCACGGTGGATACCGGCGCCACGGCGAGTTTCATCAGCGAAGAGCTGGCGGACAGGCTGCAGGCGGCAGGAAGGGTCGGACCCACGAGAAGGCAAGTACGGATGGCAGACGGTCGCTGCGGGGAAATAAGATCACAGCTGGAGACCAAAATTGGACTGGGAACGAAAACAATTTCAATGGAGCTGCTGATTTTACCAGGACTGATCGACGCCCTGGTGTTGGGATGGAATTTCCTCACCAGAATCGGGGCCGAAGTCGAGTGCGCAGGACACAGCGCGTCGATACCGGCAAAGAATAGACGAGGAGGATGGCTGGAGGAGAAACTGTCAGTGGCAATAGTTGAAACACCCAAAAGATTTGCGGAAAAGGATGTGGAGGGATTTTTAAAAGCCGAGTTGGACGAACTGAAAGGAATAAAGGGAACATCCATCGTGGCCGTACATAGGATCATACACGACCAACCAGTCAAACAGCGGTACTACCCTAAAAATCCAAAAATGCAGGCTGCGATAAATGCCAAGGTAGACGAGCTGCTGGAAAAAGGATGTATCGAGCCGTCCAGGAGTCCCTACAGCTCACCAATAGTCATGGTGAGAAAGAAGACTGGAAAGTGGAGGCTGTGTGTGGATTTCCGGCAAATAAACTCGAGGTCCGTAAAGGACGCATACCCGATGCCGATGATAAATTACATCCTGGACCAGCTGTGGGAGGCGAAATACATCAGCAGTCTCGACCTAAAGGACGGTTACTGGCAGATCCCCTTGGAGGCAGACAGCAGGCAGTACACGGCGTTTACTGTACCAGGGAAGGGCCTGTTCCAATGGAAGGTGATGCCATTTGGCCTACACTCCGCGTCGGCAACATTCCAGCGGGCATTGGATCAGGTCATTGGACCAGAAATAAGGCCGCACGCTTTCGCGTATCAGGACGACTTATCGTCATCGGACGAACGCTCGAAGAGCACATGGAAAACCGGAAGGAAGTGTTTAGGAGACTACGGGCTGCCAACCTGAAAGTAAATGCGGAAAAATTCAAGTTTTTTAGAAAGGAACTGCAATACTTGGGGCATCGCATAACAGACCAAGGCATAGGAACAGACCCAGAAAAAGTGTCGGCAATTGCCTTAATAAAACCCCCGGCCAACGTTAAGGAGTTACGACAATATTTGGGAGTGGCGTCGTGGTACAGGCGTTTTGTGCCAGATTTTGCAACGTTGGTGCATCCGTTGAATAGCCTGCTCCGAAAAGTACAAAATGGGAATGGACAGAGGACCATCAACAGGCGTTTGAAGCTGTCAAGGCCATGCTAATCGCAGACCCAATCTTAGCATGCCCAGATTTCACAAAGACGTTTGTGCTGCAGACCGACGCCAGCGATTACGGGCTCGGTGCTATTCTCACACAGAATTCCGACCAAGGCGAGAGGGTGATCTCGTATTCCAGTAGGTCCCTGAATGGTTCGGAAAGTTCAGCGACTGAGAAGGAGTTAAGGCCATACTTGGAGGGCTACCACTTCAAAGTGATCACGGATCATATGGCACTGAAGTGGTTGAATAGCATCGAGAGCCCAACCGGAAGAATCGCACGATGGGCGCTGGAACTGCAGCAATATGTATGAGATCGCGTACAGAAAGGGCCAGCTGAATATAGTAGCAGACGCACTATCACGACAGCCACTGCCAGAAACGTGTCGACGGGTAAAAACACAGGAACAGCACAAGGAAACCGGCGAGTATAACTGGATAAGGGATATGCGGAGCAAGATTTCCCAAAATCCCCAAAAATATCCAGACTACATGACAGAAGCCGACTAGCTATATCGGCACATACCGCACAGAGCAGGCAACGAGGATGTCACATCTGTGCGTGCCAACGGGGTCCAGGCGGCGGGTAATGTCGGAGAACCACAACTCACCGACAGCTGGCCACATGGGCAGTCGGAAGACAATTGCTAGAGTCGCAGCAATATACCATTGACCGGGAATGCACCGCGACATAAGGAAATATGTGCAAAACTGCGGGAGCTGCCTACGATATAAGCCAAGCCAACTACAGGCGGCCGGGAAAATGCTGACCCAAGTACCGGAAGAGCCGTGGGCCACTGTGTGCGCAGATTTCGTCGGACCACTGCCCCGCTCCAAACACGGGAATTCTAAGCTACTAGTGCTGGTAGATAGGTTCTCCGCGAGCGGATCCTCGCAAGATACGGCGTACCCAAGGTGCTGATAACAGACAATGGCGTTCAGTTCACCAGCAGGGCGTTTAAATAATTCCTGGGTGAATTAGGCGTCCGACACCAGTTTACGGCCCCTTACACGCCCCAGGAAAACCCGACGGAGAGAGCCAACAGGACGGTGAAAACGATGATCGCCCAGTTCACCGGGGCAGACCAGAGGACTTGGGACGAAAAGTGGCCGGGGAGGCAGCTCCGGGCAACAGCCAGCGGCGAGATGGAGGCGGGACTCAGGTTCCGCACTCCAGCTGCTGGCGTCCCCCCTGGTGTCGCGGTCCCCGTCGCCGAACCCCGAATCGGAGGACGAGGAGCGGATCACCGACATACAGCTGGAGGAGGAGGCCGGCGTCAGGTCGGCAGGGCAGGAGGCCGAGGTGCCCACGATCGACCTGGCCTCATCGGAAGAAGAGGAGGAGGACACCGGGACGGAGACGGTGAGTCCGGAGGTCTCCTTAGACGAGGAGGACGAGCCACGTCGGGCGGCGAAGGCCCGGATGGCATTCCGGAGAATACGGAGGGCCGCCGCCGGATTCGGGCGGATCCGCTTGGGCGACGCAGCGCCATCGGGCCGCCCGGAGGAGGCGAAGCGGATATTCGCAACCCGGGCGGAGGTGGTGCGGCGATTATTCGCGCAGCCGGAGGTGGCAAAAGCCACTGAGGCTGAGGCCGAGGAGGCGGCGATCTGGGCACGGCCAGGCCCTCCGGAGCAGCCGCCGCCGCAAGCACCGCCACCGCCGTCGCCACCGCAGCCGCCACCACCGCCGTCGCCGCCGCGGGGAGCACCACCGCCATCAGCATCGCCACCGCCACCGCCGTCGCCGCCCCGGGCAGCAATACCGCCACCGCCACCGCCACCACCGCCGCCGCCCCGGGCAGCAACACCGACACCGCCACCGCCACCACCGTCGCCGCGCCGGCCTGCAACACCGCCACCGCCACCACCGGGGAATTCGAGTAGTCTAAACATCAAAAGCGGGGAAAGACACCACTTTCATTACGTTTCCGAAGGAAGGGGGAAATGTGAGGAGGGTTAATCTCCCCACAAATCCCGATGCAGGAGATCGGCCTAGCAACAGCGGAGGAGGCGAGAAAGCCGGAGAAATGAAGGGTATCCGGGTCAAACGGGAAACATTCGGACCTTGGACCTCATATGGCAAGGGCAACGAGGTCATACGGTGAATTGGCGGACTTCGGACCCGCCTAAAGAGGACACACCGTGAATTAACGGTACCTCGATGGACCTTGGACCCGCGCCCGGCAAGGGCAACGGGGTCATACGGTAAATTGGCGGACTTCGGACCCGCCCAAAGAGGACACACCGTGAATTAACGGTACCTCAGTGGACCTTGGACCCGAGGGAAATAAGGGCACATACAGCGCCTATAAAAAGGACGACGTAAGCGCAGCTCGGGACAGTACGAGTGCGAGAATCAGAGCGAGTGCGTGAACGCGGAATAAGTACAAATCGAAACCGAAGTGCCCAAGGATCAAGATCGCAAAGTCGAGACGCCGAACGACGACAAGTCTACAAGGCTGAGGCTACAACGCTGAGATCCAACGGTGCTAGGTCGTGGTGAAATCAAACTTAGGGAGTCCTTGCGCGGTGTCAGGCGATAAAGGTGGCTAAGCGATAAGGGAGAACTTTGTTCTACCTGCTAGGCGATACACCTTGCCGACAAAGTCCAGGCTGAACTCCGGAAGCCAGGCGATAAAGGTGGCTAGGCGATAAGGCGTAACTTCGGTTCACCTGCTAGGCGATAAACCTTGCCGGTCCCGGTAGGGAAGCTAGCATAACATCAAGGGTTTTTGGTGGAGCCGTCCCGATCTCAGTCACCCGGAGCAGCAAGCCGAAGCAGCGCAGTAGAAGGCCAGGAGCGACGCAGCGGTAAGCCGGGAGCGACGCAGCAGCACGCCAGGAGCAGCGCAGCAGCGAGCCATGAGCAACGCAGCAGAAGACAGCGACAACGGGCAGCCGATTAATAGCAATAAGGCTATATTTTAGTGAAACAATAAACCAGCACCAACCTAATCAGTTCTGGAGTTATCCTTTGGTCACGGGCGGTCACTCAATATAAATTTGGTGGAACGAACTCACAACCTCTCTGAGCTAGCCGCACGTTTACGTAGCGAGCAGAAATTAAAGAAACAGGTCGTTACAAAGTGGTATATTTAAATTAACAGTGCGCTGAGATATTAAATAAATGAGCAATGTTTACAACAACGTTTTTAACTTCTAATTTCAACTTAAGCAACTGAAGACAACTTTTGGCAACATTTACGACTTTTTATGCGACCGCCTCTTACTACTTCCTTATGCGAATGAATCTCCGTCGTAATTCCTTCTCCGATTTATAATTCAGTTGTTCTCTCGATTGCTGAATTCCATTCACAACGAGGGAAAAGTATATACTAGCTGTCCTGTTCTTCCTGAACCCTTTACATATATATATATGTTTTTTTTGGTTCATTCCAAGTATGGTTCTAATTCTATGTATGGAATTCAAAATGATTATGAAATAAAAATTTCGAATAAATTAAAATAAAAATGTTTAACCCACCTTATGTACTGTTTGCTTCTTGTGTTTATTGTTTGAAACTATTATATTTTTGTTGTTTTTATAGTAAGTACATTTAAGTTGAAAGATTGGCCAATGCATTCAAGTTATTGTTTTTGTTGTATGCACTTGGCCGAGTTCGATCAACTTTGGAAATTGGCTATTCTGCATTCCCACGATCGCTGACCGAAAGGTGCAAGCTCAGCGCAATTGGCTTAGGGGGGGCTTATGGCTTATGACTTATGTCTGGGTCGTTATATAATTTTGGGTGTTAACTCTTCGCTCCTTAAATGCGACGGTCCTCGGTCGCAACGACAGAGACCGTTTACTCATGTATTATTGCTTAAATCTAACAAATTTTCTGAATTACAAATTGTCTTATCATTATGGGATTCGTTTTTTTAATTGCAAATAATTGTCCCTTACATTCCAACAAATTTTCGTATTTTATATCATTGATTATTTGGACTTTTTTTATATCTTTAATTTTTACAGTTCTACAATTACCTGTTTTAATATTTGGGAGGCTAATAATATAAATGAGGTCGTTGCCATTGCCATAACTTTAGCAAATTCCAATAATTCCGGTCGGTACGGCACGAGAGGATAGACGCGAGATAAGAAAATAAAGTTAAAGGTCCAGGGAAAAAAGTAATAGTTAGATCAATCTTGTGCCAATGAAGCAAGTATTAATCGTTTTAGGAGCGGCAGAGAGTCAAGATTTGAGACTACAGGAAAAAGTATATTATAGTCAGAACATAATACTCTGAAAGGCTCATGCAAGGCATAGTTAGATCTACAATGATTTAAAATTAGGGGAAAATAATTTCTAGTTAATCTACTTGGCACAGAAAAGTTTAGCCGACTTAACAAGTCGGGGCAGTCAATATCATTATGTATAAGGTTATAAATGAAGACAGTACCAAGCATCGTTCTAAGGTTGGCTAGGGAGGGTAAATAAATCAACAGAAGTCTACTACAATAAGAAGGTAAGTTAAGATTTGCATCCCAGTTTAGGCGCCGAAAAGCGAAAAGAAGAAAGTTTTTTTTACTGATTCAATACGACCAATATGTATTCCGTATTGTGGACTCCAGACGGGAGACCCATACTCCAGAATCGGACGGACTAGCGAAATAAATAAAGTTTTAGTCAAATAAGGATCATGGAATTCTTTTGACCACCTTTTAATAAATCCAAGCACTCCTCGGATTTATTAACCATAGACGAAATGTGATTAGAAAATTTTAGTTTAGGGTCCAAGAGAACGCCAAGATCGTTTACAAGAGTTATTTTATCCAAAGAGCTGCCACTTAACGTGTAAGTCGCGTATATCGGATTGGCCCGATAAAAAGTCATCAGCTTGCACTTGGAACCGTTTAAATTTAGGAAACATATCTCGGCACCAGTTTTGAAAATTATCTAGATCGGATTGAAAGTCTAAATGACAGGAAATATCCTTATACTGCAGGCATAACATAACATCATCTGCGTACATAAGTACTTATAATTGATGGAAGATCGTTAATAAATAATGTAAAAAGTAACGGACCCAGATGGCTCCCTTGTGGGACACCGGAGGTAACACGGAGAATCTCAGAAATTGAATTTTTAAAAAGGACCCTTTGTGACCTGCCATTTAGATAACTTGAAATCCATTTAAGCAGATCAACTGGAAAACCTAAAAGGTCAAGTTTATGAATAAGAAGTAAGTGATTTACAGAGTCAAATGCTTTACTAAAGTCAGTGTAAATGACATCTGTTTGAAAACTACTATTGAAGCCTTTTATCACAAATGTAGTGAGCTCTAGAAGGTTTGTAATTGTGGATCTACGTTTAATAAATCCGTGTTGACACGGAGAAATAATTGATCTGCAAAAGTGCTGCAAATGAGGAGTAATAATTTTTTCAAAAAGCTTAGGAATAGCTGACAACTTAGAAATACCTCTGTAGTTACTGGCTTCTAACTTGTTACCTTTTTTGAAAAGAGGAATAACAAATGATTCCTTCCAAATATTTGGGAATTGGGAGGTTTCTAGAGATAAGGTAAACAATTTGTGAAGAGGTTTGCACAGGTCCTTAGCGCAATACCTAAGCACGCATCCTGGAATACCATCGGGCCTGGCGAATAAACAGGCTTAATACGAAGAAGATCCAAAAGAAGAGAACTTTCTGTTAAAGTGGGACAGAATATGAGGTTTGACTTGGACATTGTGTAAGAATAAGGCTGTGATGTATAATCTAAAGTAGAGTAGGTCGTTTGAAAAAATTGGGAAAATAAATCGGCTATTGCCTGATCTGTGGTTGCCGTCGACAGCGAGGAAAAACTTCGGAGCTAAAGATCTCCGGATTTAACCATGTTTCTGTAAACACAATAATATGAGATGCAAAGGAAAGGCTATCGGAATTCAATTTAGTGAGCTTGCTACGCAAACCTCTTGCATTCTGATAGGAAAGAATGAGGTTAGAAGTTAGTTTTTTGAAATTGGTACACTGGTTTGGCCTCGACTAGAAAGATTGACTCCCACGGGCCCCTTTTTATTTATGTATATGGCCTCAAAAAGCTCGTTATGGACAGTTATCTTGAAAGATGAAATGTCCCTAGCATAAGAAAACTTAAACTTTTCAACCTTTACACTAATACAATCGGCTTAAGTTTTGTTTTGTATATAAGACAATACATCAGAAGATGTTTGATCAGGGGAAAGCCGAGAAACGAAAATTTGTTTCTTTAGTGGAACCACTGAAAGGGATTTTGGTGGAGCAGACATGGTTTCTGCAAAACCAACTTGAGCCGGTTGTCCGGACTCAGTAGTCCCTTGTGGTGGTGATGCTACATTCTGAGAGATAGGTGGATCCACTAATTGTGAAACCTCTACGGACAAATCGGAATTCTTAGAAGTCCCTGGTTGCATGCATTCTGTTACGGATTGTTCGGATACCGAATCTTTTTTAGCTGCTGATCTTAGCAACATTTGAGGGTTTGCTGCAGCCAGCTGCTGATCCGCCGGAATGCTCTGTTGATCTTTTGATTTCGGTTGCGGGGTGTTCCCCTTTTGCTGCTTACCCCCAGCGTCCTTTTTGCGCTTAGGGGACTCTTCTAATAGCTTACGACTATTAAACTGCGAATCCAGCGCAGAGAGGAGATCATCATCGGCGAAAACTATCTCTAGCAACTCCGAAACAGCTAATCAGCCCCATCAGGCCGCCTTTAGTTTGGCGCATAAACGATTTCATCTCGTTCGCAACCTCGACATACCCTTTTACTTTACGAGTAACGGGTATAAATAGGAGAACCATGAATTTTGCAAATTTTTACGAGCCAACAGACTTCTCATGAAAGTGAAGTATACATAAAACAAAAGGAGGCACAAAATTAATGGGATGAGGATGTTGGGGCCCACAGACATCATA